TAAAAATTTTCATAAAATAAATAAAATAATTGTTTGTTTGTGAGATTTTTTAATAAAGTAAAGTTCTGACGCTTTAATAAAATGTTTGTTGAAACACAGGCAATTTGCCGTATCTTTTGTGATTTTGTAAAAATAAAATGTGGTATGAGATATTACATATTTTCAAGTACCTCGTTTTTATGCTCAAATGTGTAGTTTTTGCATTTGGTAATACTGCGTTTTTTTGATTTGAGTTCTCTTTTGTGGTTCTCTTTTCGCAATAAATTTGTATATTATAGAAGATTGAGCAAAGCACTTGACAATTCGTAAAGTTGGTTGTTAATTTAAATATCAGTGCTGTAGTTTGAACCGGTCTCCGGGGTTTAAAGTGTGAAACGAGTTCCTTGAAGGCCGGAAGTAACTAAGTGAAACGGTGGAGTTAATAGATTCACGCGGCGTTTCTCCGTCTCCTGTTTTAGATTCCACACATGTCTTGCGAAACAAACCCTCTAATATAAGCAAATTTCCTCTATCCATCCGAATATATTCTAATTAGTTGGTATTGGGACAAGGCAAAGGGGACGTCCGACCGGAGGAAAGACAAGCTGTGCATGTGAATCGCTGCAGCTTATTAAACAACAAACTATTTGCATATTTACATATGGTAATCGAGTCTCTAGCTTACGGATAACATGCTCGGTGTAATCTAAAGACCAGATATGCACCGTCAAATTGGTAGCTTTCTGCTAAGTATATGCTCGGGTTAATAGGGACCGGGAAAATCCGGTCTTTCTCCTATGATGCACGTCACCGACGTTTTATATTTTCTATTCCGGTTCGCCGATGATATCACAAAAAAATTTCATTAACTTCACACGCAATCTGCAATAATAGCAACAAGGGGAATTATTATGCCTCCTGCAATTAAATACCGTTCAACCTGAACATAATAACTCACATACTTGACGTTCAAATATAAAATTCTTTAATTTTCATGCATTTTAAACCAACACTACAATCGATTACACTGCAGTTTAAAATTCCGTTCCAATACATAAATTTAATTTTTTAATTAAATTATGAAACGTATTGAAAATTTTTAATAAAACAAAAGTTCAACTCTTTCATCAAAAATATATTCGAACTCGGTAATAAGTAAGAAACGAATTTACCTACCCATTACGAAAATTTAATTACAAAATGTTAATATACAATACCGCAAAATAAAAAGTATCTATTGTTTTGTATAGTGGCTTATTTTCCACCAAAATTTTTAAGTTTTTTTTACAAATTTAAAAGCAATTTTAGTATTTAGTTAAAAAATATTGATTAAACAAATTAAGTCAAATCAACTAAAAAAGAGGTGATAATTTATACAAACAATAAAAGTTTAAATGAAATGAACATTTTATGGCATCATAATGTGGTTATTACTGACAGACTGAGTTTCATTCATTAACTACAAGCTAATTGCTGCTGAAAACGCATTCTACAAGAAGATATTTTTGAATTAGGTACATTAAAAAAAAACTAAATATTTGTTTATATCCATTTTGTATCATATTGGAAACTTACATTTAAGTTTTATCAAAAATTTAGTTAGCAAGTAGGTAATTAAATTGCTGTTATATTAAGTTGTCTAATTAATATAAAAAGAAAATAGCCCATTTTGTTCTAAATCGACTGTTTTCGACACTCTAAATTAAGTTAGATTATTGAAGACTTTTATAGTTGCTCAACAAATAAACTGAAAACGTGCAAGAAAAGCAATAAGAACCGCTGTAGCAAAATTAGGAAAAATCCCGAATAAATATCTGAAGCGTGATTTGGTGAATGCAATACCAGCGACAAATTTTTTTCATTATTTTTTATTAGTCAATAATTGTAAGAAGCCTTTAAACAACGTTAAAAATTTCTTTACACTGTTTACAAGTTTCCAAGCAAAAATTAAAAATACCATGTCAAATGGCTATTATCCAATATAATTAATGATGCTCAATTAATTTCTTCCCGGCAGTATTTTAAATAATCCGTCAAGAAAATTGCGCACGAAAAAACGTTAAAGATTTAAGCATTGAGTAAAAAATAATAACTGAAATGCTAAAAGCCATCAATCTTCCAAGCTTAAAAAGGAATGTGAAATTATTTGTCAAGAGATTTTCTCATCTTTATCTTTCGATATTGATTTTAAACGTAAATTTAGTTGACCAGCGTGTTATATTTATAAATCTTCTAGAGCTTTATATAAAGGAGAAACACAACACCTTTTCATATTTCACGCTTATGTTTCAGTTGATTTGTTTATGGCATAAGTTTCAAGTTATAGCCGATGCCTATCTTTTATCTGATGTGGGAGGTGTGGATATCTATAAATTGAAGTACTCTCAACAGGGAATTTTGCTACATAGTTCGATTTTTATTCGCACAAAATTTGAACTTATGTGTTCATAATATTAGTTAATTTTACTTGGTCTACATATTTGTACACGTAAATATTGCGTGTCGGGGTTATTTATTTCCGACGTCTCTTTGAAGAAATATCTCAATTATTAATATTTAATGGGCTCATAAAAACGTCATTTTGAAAATCCGAATTTTGACGACATTTATCAAACGTTGACCTCGAATTTTTCAATTATAATAAAAACAGATTTTTGATATTATTCTTAAAGCCGATGCAATAACTTGTCAAGTCTCGACACTATAAATTATTTTTTTCGTTAGAAAGCTTTTTAAATTACCCCCTATCTAGGTTATGGTTCTTATGAAAGCGTCAGTTTAAAGTAAAATGAAAAATCGTCGATTTGCTCTTCTGTAAATTTTCTTTCTGGCGCAAGAGCGATAATTCCGTGGATAGCATCGATCTAGTTTAGGTCCTTTGTTCATTTAATCAACGCTATCCTCTATGAATAGACCGGTGAGTAACAGCTCGGTTATCTCTTTCCCTTGGATACCAAAGTAACACACTGTACGTTTTCGTTATTAGGAACGAGGTGAGTGTGAAATTGAACGTAATTATTTCGATACAGCCTTTCCACTAGGTTAATTCCATATAAAAGCTATAATAATGCCGGGCTTAATGCTCCAAAATCCTTGCTTTGCTATTATTATACGTATTGTTTACACCGCCAGGAATAATTAAAACAATCGTTCCTAAACTGATTTGGGTTTTTAAAATGAAAGTCGATTTAATCGGAATGATCTCATTCGACAGCCACTCTTTCGGTATCACTGTCAATGGAGCCTTCAGGGATATTATGCAGGACGAACGCTGAAAAACGTCAACTCGATAACGTCCTTAATTTAGTTTCAGAGGGATGAGATTTATTTCAGGCAACATAAAATGTACAACTTGCAGCAAAGCTTTTATTTTACAAGTAAATTGAATGTGCGTATCGATTTCCGATAAGTAACCACTAAAACTTGCAATTATATTTCACCGAATACGATGCCGCCAGTAGATTTCGTGATTAAGTTTTTTACGTCGTAGCAAATATTTACTCGTTCTATCAGTGTGTAAACCGCTTAAAACTTTATGAGTTTATTAAATATTAATCAGCAATTCAATTCTTCACATTCATTTCGTTTTTACTCCTAAATTTTAATTAATTTTACAGTTCAGAAATTTTTTCCGTGTTTTGTTTTAGCTCAAAAATGTAATCTTCCGTTAGTGAAAGAGTACTTTTTAGTTCTTTGGTTGTTTATTACATATCGCCAATTCATTCGTCAATGAGCAACATTTTCATTTCATTCCTGGTTATTCATTGAAGTCGATATTTTTTTAACGATGTATTTTGCTTATTGGGAATTAAAACAGTTCCATAAATATGTGCATTTTGCATCAAACAATTAAAAGTGCGTTTTGTGTTTTTCGAATATCACATGCATTCATAAACCCAATTGTTTTTTCTACATTCATGGAAATACAATTTGTATAGAACTGACCAGAGATTATAAATTGTTTGACTGCTGAATTTAACCTATATGTTTGCTTATATAACCTTTTAACACAAACTGTCTGGACTGTTATGCCTCCGGTCGATACTCTAGGTGTTTATTAAGAGCGCTATCTCACCGGAAGTGTCGTTGTGTGTAGGATTACAAAAACACGAACTTTCCCCGATAGGAGTGTTTTGACGGTTTAATTCATTAAGAGTGTCCTCGGATCAATTTTTTTCTAGTTAACTAAATAAATTAAAGATGAAGCAAAAACATAATGGGGTTTAGATTGCAATAAGTGTAATGACAAAATAAAACATTCATGGAATATTGGATTAGATTGTTTTAAGTATATCGCGACAAATACTTATACTAAATTACATTTGAGTGTATTAAATAGAGATAAATACAAAGCTAAGTAAAGCGTTTGGTAAATAAGGACGTTATTTATTGTGAATATTTATTAAGAGTACCATTTATGAAAGTGGTGATTTCAATAACTATTAGCATATGAGATCAGTTGTTCAAAGTAGGTCTATTTGAGGCACTTATACTTTCTGACAAAAAAATTAAACTGCCAGTCAAAAAAAAACACTATAAGAAAATAGAATAGCAACTCGTTTTTAATAGAAGTCCAAATCAAAAGTGAATTTTATTCTATAGACTTAATAATGAATTAAATTGTACTAGATTATATTTAATGCAATAAACTTGTTCTGGTGACTGAACTAATTTAACGTTTCAGTATGTATTTGTAATAAAAAAATAAAGCAAATTAAATTTTCCTCGTTATGCAAAATATTTTAACCGCGGTAATGTCGACGGGGAAAAGAAATATCTGTGTTATTCAACACCCCAAGGCCAGTTAGTCAACTTGGGAGTACTTAAGGTAATTCTTCATGGTCTTTATTTCACTAGAATTGTTATCTACGGCTTATTTTTATACTCTCCCAGCATTTAAAGATGTCGTAAATTTACTTTTTAACTAAGCGTCTGCATTTATCGAGAATCTACGGGCAATTTGTTTACCACAAGTTTATCTTAAAATTCAACGTTCATTCTACACGTGTTATTTTTTTCAGTTTCAATTAATTTTGGAACAGGAGTGAAAATCAACAAATTGCAAGTTCCTGAGGTAATCAAGCACGGAGCCCCTGTAATTTTAGACTGTGACTTTACGTTAGATGACACAGAAGAGGATCTCGTTGTTAAATGGTATTTTAACAAGAATAAAACTCTAGTCTATCAGTGGATACCTGGTGAGAAAATTTGATTGAATTGAAAATAAAATTAATTTTGTTATTTTAGCGTTGAAGCCTCAAGGTTTAGGCATTTTAAAAGATCGCTTGAATCTTGAATATGCCGCCAGCGTCGATGCGAATAGTGTCCACAGAGCCCTGCATATCCTTAAGGCCGTTCCTGACCTCTCCGGGGACTATACGTGCTCGGTATCAACCCTCCAGAGCGAAGACATCAGGACTAAAAGCATGCTCGTATTTGGTAAGTGGTCTTGACTAAAAAACAAGGTTTTGCAAATAAATTATTTACGATTTCTTTGAAAAGAAACTGAGTCAATTTTGCTCGATTAAGACATATAAAAGAAGCAATTTTTTAACAATGTGTGTCAACGGAAACAATTTAAATCGGGTTTATATATTTCTATAGGATCATTGATGATTTCTCATTTTCAATAACTCCACAGGAACCTCTCCTAATATTCGATTCAAATCGTTTTGTCAGAAGTTTAAAGAATAATGTAGGTCACGACATCAGCAAATGTTTTCTCTAAATCGTTTTCTCTTCTCGTGGTCGAGATATTTCGAAAGTCGAGTTATGTTTACAAGATTTTAATGAGTGAAGACATTATAAAAAAAACAACAAATTTATTTCAAATAAAAATATTTAGTTTTGGAAACAATAAAAAATTACTTTTGCCCTTCCCGGCGCATCCACCAAATTTGTATTAATAACTAGTAAATAAGTTATAACAAACATCAAAAGACAGTAATTTTACGTCAATTATGTGTTTTTTGATTAAAAATCCTTATGTGTAATTAATTTCTAAGTTGTCTTTTCAAAAATATACAATAATTTATTTTTGGTATTTCTGTTGACAATTAGGTCGAAAATAACGAACAAGAATCGTTAACTCCACCTGCCTTAATTAAGCTCTATTTAGCACTTTACGTATGAATGAATATTGTAATCAAGCCCTTTGACATTTCAGATATGATTCAAACATTTTCCCTTTCTGATCATACATTAAGCTTTGTTATTCACGTTTCAAATTATCCCAACGTGTAATAATAACACATGCTTGGATTTTGTTGCATGACGATGGTAAAGTAGCTTTGAATAATCTGAGCACAATTGTCACAAGCGCAGTTCAAGATAAGCAACTCCTGTTTCACTCTAGCAAAATTAATTCACGAGTGCAATTTAGAGTAAAGTTGTTTTTCAATTTGTTAACAAGCAACCAAGATGAAACGGTGAGGTTTCACAAGAGATGTAATTAATTAGATCTGGAATTGCACTTAAAACTATTTTATCGAGCATTTAAAGTTTATCTCGGATTCTTATAAACTGATCGAGAAAATACGTTACGAATTTAACGGGCTTTCAAACAATACTTTGTCAATCTTTCTTCTAATTTACCTGCTCGAATTACGAAATTACTTTGCTTGTGAATACTTTAGTAAAATTTTATAACTCTATTATTAATAAAAAAACATATGATTTTTATTTTTTGATATATCATGCTTAAATTCAAATTACGATAATAGTTATTTATTCGACGAGTTTGAGTGTAAATGGGACGGATTATTTCACGGAGTGGGTTATTAAACCACGAGTATAACGAGTGGTTTATCATCCACGAGGTGGAATAAAGCGTCCGATTTACACTCAAAAGAGTTGAATACAACATTTTATTCTTCGAATTAGACTCAATAAGGCTTAAACTTGCTTTAAATCTGTTAAAAATAATCTGACGTTTCCTATTGAGAAATGCCAAACAGTTGTCAAAACTTCCTTACACGGGAGAAAAACCGTAAATTTTGACAGTGTCGAAGAATAAAAAGTAATTCTTTCTGTAAGGATTTTGAAACTATTTTTTTTGATAAAATCCAATTTCCTTTGTCTTTGAAGCTGCAACGCTATTACGTATCAATAAATCAAACCTTTTTAAAAAAACAAGAAAAAATGATACTTTTTCAAATCTTGTAGTATTACACAGTGATAGCAAAGAACAATTTTATCAATTTTAGCTAGATTTTGTTTTGTAAAAAGTAGACGTTTAAAGAAATTTGTAATAATAAGACTCTCTCTTGTGGTAAAGACAATATAATAGTTATATTATATTAGAGTAAATATCACTACAAAGTATATCAAGTCTAGCTGTTGATTTCTGCTCTTTATGTTTACCGTAGTTAATTATTATCTATAAATCAGAGCGGAGGGTTAATATTAGCACAAGCGAATGATATTCGAATCGGTAGATAATGGCGATATCGGAAAACCGTTCAAACTTAAATGATTTGTATGATAAAAAGTGCCAATGTTGAAATTAAAGTTTTTAACGCGCGAACAATCCTCGATCTCAAACAAGAGATATAATTAAGCGAAGAAAACTCTTAAACATTTAAAACGTAATCAAAGAAAGTTGGCAAAAGCGCCAAACTAAGTTCCAATTAAAAGAATCCTCCCCGACTAAGTGCTAATAAAGTTTCGGTGTTTGTGACGTGACTTTGAGTCACAAAGTCAGACATGTATATGTCTCTATTCCGACTATAGTGGAGCATTAAGTTGTTAGAACACCGGCTGCAACTAAGGAAACAACTTTCTGTAATTTGTTCAATAGGTCGCCAACATGTCCCAAGTTAAATCACTTCGCTCAAAGTTGAAACATCTTTAAGTCGCTTTGTTTATATTAGAGAAAAGTTACTCGGTGGCAGAACAATAACGCCAGGTCGAGCCAATACGCTACTGAATAAAATAAAAGCAAACGAGTGTTCACTCGGCGTAATCTGAAAATCCTGAAATGGATATCACATGTAATTTGAGTCCGGCCAGGCGGACCAACGCTCTGATTGAAACCATAATTTAGCCAACAGATTATTCTCCGACAAAACACTTTTAATTTGTCTTCTTTAATTCCAACCTCCTGCGATCGGAGATTTCTGGATTAAATATCGGACGCAATTTGTTACCGATTAGGTTTTAAAGAAACTAAAAATTTATATTGTAATCATAAAGAGAGTGTGCTAGATTTGTTAGAGATACTCTTGAAATAAGTCACGTCAGATTCCGTAACTTTTCTTTCACGATTCCTCTTCGGACACTACTTGCCACGTAATTCGGTCCTTAGAGAACAAAGTCCGGGATGCGGCTTCCTCACACCCCTAGTCTCGTATACCTTTGATTACGGATTTTTCTTTGCTTGCGATTCGACTGTTGTTATCTCAGCAAGGACTTTATATCGAATTTCCTATATTATTGGCTTACGAAACATAGCACCAGTTGGTGGGAAAGAAATTAAAAAAAAGAAATACTTACATTTTTAGAATCAGTAGCAAGTTCGATTTTGTTTTTGAGCATTGGTTTTTAATCTCAAGTAACTCGTGTACGATGCAAGTTTAAATGGTCTGTTGGTCTTCCAAAATGAGCAAGTAACCACTTCTGATCAATAATAATTTATTGAACTGTTGGAGAGTGAATTAGTAAACTAACACTGTTCCATATCCATTCGTAACAAATTTAATTTCAACAGGATTGTGCTTGATTTATTTTAAAACCATCAATCTTTCCGAATGAAGTGTGTGTTATACAAAAACAATGAAAAGTATGCGACACGAGCGACTTTTATTAAATTGACAAAGTCTCTAATTAAAATGCTACAAATATTTCGGACATTTTAGGGGCGTTTAATTTTGCTGATTTAGCTAAATTTCTAAACGAAATAGTGTCCGCAAAGGAACTTCAGCTATTTCAGAGTTTAGAGCAAGGATTCAGGAATTTATTTATTTTAATTAGAGAGAGGGTACTGGAAGGGTGTAATTGATGACTCGTGAACAAAGCTTTAAAACTGACCAACAGAAAGTTACGCTTTACCACTTCATTAAGAATGTTTTGAGGATTCCTCCACTTATAAATTTTGATTAAGTAAATGTAGCTTGTTAAGTAATATGTAACTGAATTTGAAAAATATAGAGAATGCGCCAGATCTCGTGCCCCGGAGAAAAATGTTATGTAAGGTGTGTACGATATCAGGAACATGGAAAAAATGTTAAAAAAATTCTATCTATAAAAATTTAGAAGTTACGAGAGTTTAAATTTTGCACTTTGACTCTACTTATTTCTATTAAAAAAATAATTTTCCAATTTCAATTCCAATTCCAATTCCAATTCTAGGTCTTTTAGTTTTTGCTTGAAAAAATAAAAACGAAAATCACAAATTTCCGTTTTTTTCCAATAATTCAAAAACTAAAAGTGACACATTAAATTTTCTTTCAGATTATTGTTTAGCATAAAAATGCGAAATTTTGCCCTAATTTAACCGAGCTCGTATCTCTTAGAATAACTGAGATCCCCATGGTGGAGCTCGAAAACGAACAGCCTGTATAGACTTTATAAATAAATATTATTTGTTGAATTATTATAAATAATATTTTAAATTGCTATGAGAAACACAATTAAAATATTTTTTTATTGAAATAGGATTTAGGTAGTTAATTTTTAATTTATTTTATAAAAAATAATTTTGTTGCTCAAAACAATCGCCGTCTCTATAGAAATAATCCTTTTCTCGCCTGGGCATTTCTTGAGTTCAATTGATTCCCGTTGGCGCTTTAAACTGGGGAAATTTTTTGACACATCCAGTTTTTTAGCTTAAACGGTTCAACCTCATAATATCAACTCTCTCTGGAGTATCTTGTTTTGTTGTATCCTTCCTTCCCAGCTTTTATTAATTGCGTTATTTTTCGTTAATAATTAAAAATCATTCAGTGTTTCCTTAGTAACCCCCGTAACTAAGAAAAAATCGGAATCACTGCTCCAATGCATTTTTTACGAAATGCCCAGGCGGAATATTGATACATTTCATTAAGGGAGGCGGTGCTCAAAACCATAGAAGTAATCTAATTGACTAATTAATAATTCGTGATGAAAACAGTATTTAACTCTGGGTCAATGCAATGGTCTAAAACCAAAACAATGGCTCACATTTAATTTTATTTTTATTTATTTTTAAACATCTGTTTACATTTATAAAAAAAGAACTCAACAATACCTTATAGCTTAATACAGAGTGGTTATAAATGATTTTCATCTAGCCAGCTTTGGAATTTTTTGCATGTAACTTTATTTGTGCCGCTCTACTTTTTTGACAGCTCTATAGTTCTGTCATTAGTGTCACTTATTAATTAATAATAAATTGTTGTTAATTAAACTTTTATTGTTTCAACTAATTGCCAATAATAATTGGTAATAATGTATACTTTGGA